TAATATCTTACACTGGGTAATTTATAAACAACAGAAATTTATTTCTCACAGTTGTGGAGACTGGGGATTCCAAGATCAAGGCACTAGGTCTGGTGTCTCATGAGGGCCAGTCTCTGTTTCCAAGGTGGCACCTTGAATGCTGCATCCTCCGGATGGGATGAATGCTGTGTCCTCACGTGGCAGAGATGGAAGGGCAGAAAGTGGCCTGTCTAGTTCCCTCCAGCCCTTTTATAAGGCACTAATCCTATCCACGACAGTGGATCTCTCATGGCCTAATCACCTCCTGTAGGCCTCACCTCTTAATACTGTTGCATTGGAGATTAAGTTCCAACATGAATTTTGGAGGGGACACAAACATTGAAATCATAGCAGTGGCCTACAGGTGAAATTTCTGGGTCCAAGTGTTTGCCCATTTGCATTCTTAGTAGAACAACTCTTGAACTTTTTTGTTTGTTTCAACTTCTACCTATCAAGTTTTCAGAAATCTTAGTGCCCTAGTTTCTTCCTGGCCAGCCCTGACACAGCCCCATGGCTCCCCTCACAGGTTATGGGTGCCAATGGGACTTGTTGGCTGCCTTGTTTAGTTTGTCACAATTTTCTTCTTCAGACCAGACCTCAGAACCATAATCTAGCAGCCTACACAAGTTAAAAATCTAAAGTCTTTCTTGATGATAAATCAACCTCATTGTATGGATATGGCTTTCAGTTTTCTGATTAGAACTCAAAATCTTAGTATGCCATTTATATATTGGAGAACAATTCATAGCCGCAGAACTTAGTACAACTTAACACACAGCAGAGTTAAAAATGTGAGGCTTATGTTTCACTCTTTGGCTAACTCTGCTACCTGAGTTTGGAGGATGCCAAATTCTTTCCAGTGGTGTTCTAGGTGCAAACCTTCCCAAATTCAGGTTCAAACTTTTCTCCCAGCTGCTACTTGGCTACCACTGGCTGCTCGCTGTCTTAGTTCCTTTAGCAAAATTGTCTGCGTTCCTGTCTTCCCCAGACTTACCACCCTGGAGAAAATCCCTCAAATTTGCTCTCTCAGCTCAGATTAGTGTTCATCTGAGGTTTGAAAGACACCCCATCCTTTTTGAAAGCAGAATCTCTTTATTTGGGTCCAACAGCTATACATTTTCTTTCTGGCCTCCCACCAGCTCTCTAGGGCAGAACTCAACCCTCTTCAGCTCTGATCAGCTTTCTCCAATACAACTTACAAGGTGGCCGCGTTTGCAATGAGAGCCACTCTAGACTCCATCAAAAATTTAGCATGTAATTGAGACGGAATGTTTAATTAATGCATTCATGTATTTAACACATATTGATCATGTAATTCAGTTATGGTGGTGGATGCTGGGGATGCTATGGTCAGTGAGAAAGAAATGAACAAACCAAAACCATGATTCCCAACTTCATGAAGCTCACAATCGGAGAATTACATAAGAAGAGAATCATGGATGTGAAAAGTCATGTTAAAGAGCATACACGTGTGTGCGTTAAGAGCGTTAAGAGGATCTGATCTTGTAGGTGGAGGGGTGGTGGTGGTATAGCCAGGAAAACTTCCTTACTTCCAGCACCCCGTGTGGACAGTTCTTTTTATTCTTAGATTTCATTTGGTCAGAATGAGGGCTTTCAGCTCTCCCAAACTCTGGTTCAGTGCCCTTTCCATTCCACCATCCGACCGTGGCCCTCATTTCCTAATCTAAACATAAGAGGCTGGTCTAGAAAAACTCTACAGTCTGTTCTAACTACAAAGTTCTTTTCTTCATTCTCTTCTTCTTCCCAGTGGGAGACATACAGGCCACTTGCTAGCAGCGTCAACTCCACCCATCTGTCCATCTATTCAACACATACGTGTTGAGCAACTATTATGTGCCAGGTACTTTAGCAGGAGCTGGGAACACAGTGGGGTATGAGACATCACACTGCCTGTCCTCATGGGACGTCCAGGCCTGGAGTGGCAGTTGGGGTCAATGGAGCCCTCCTCTACATTCTTTGGCTGAATCACCACATTTAGAAATTAGGTGTGTGGAATGAGCAAATTGGGGACTCGTGGTGCGCACCTTGATGGGCCCAGGACAGTGCCTTTCACCTGTCAGGTACTCAGCACACCCTTGGTGAATACCTGCCTCTTTCATGTTGACATTGATGTCCTGCCCACCTGAGAGGTGTACAACCTGAAGGGCTCCAGGGGTGCCAGGGGCCACTCTTTGGACATAAGCACCAATGTGCGGCATGATGACTTTTCACTCTACAGACATTTACGGAACACAGCTGCCATCCTGGGTGACTGTGAGAAACTATAAATACAGGTAGACATTCCATAAACCCTGATTTAGTGGGGAGGATATTGTCCTAACCCAAGAGGCCTTGTGGTGAGTGACATGGATGAGACAGAGCCAATGATGGCTCTGTATCCAGGGAAATTTACGCTCCACCAGGCCCACGAGACTCTAATAGCTATGGGATTATTGCATCCATAGCGGGTGAGGACTTCTAGAAGAAGCACAAGCACAGTGATCCAGAAACTGAGGGGTGAAAAAGCCCACTCATTGATGCCTGGGTTGAGTAGGAAAAGATCCTTAGAGCCATGTTTTAAAACTTGGGAAAAATTTCAAAAGGAGAGGTGATAGCAAGAAACAGAAGAGTCCCTTTCAAGAGGGGAACTTCCCCTTGGTCTTTGGCCTGATTACCTTCCATGGAAAGTCAAGCTGACCTAAAAAGAGAAGGGAGTCTCTAGTGTCTGGGAGTTTCGGGGTCTCACCCATTTGAGTGCAGTCTGCATTGTGTGCAGGCAGAAGGGGGAGATAGGCCCAGGATGTCCTCTGAGTGCTGTGACAGTTTGAGTTCCTGTCTTTTCAGTGAGGAAACTGAGGCATGGAAAATGGGCCCACTTTAAGCACAAAAAGTTTTAAAAATGGAGCTTAGTTAAAATGCAATCTAAAAGAAGTAAGAAAGAGACATCTCTCCTTTTACGAGTCTCTGCTCTTTGGGCACACCTGTCTCAAGCTCACAGGGTGTCTCCTCCCACCGGCCCTGCAGTGTGCCAGGCTGGGCATCCCGCCAGGCTTTCTTAGATGAAGTCGAGGCTGCCAGGTCACCCCACCTACCGCTGTTCCCCCAGCCCTGGCCCCACCCTCCCCTCTCCTGGGAGACACAAAAGGCTTCTGTGACTCAAGCAAGAGCTCACAATACCTCCTCCTTCTCTCTAGCAACACAGAGTGAGGCCGCGGGGTGCATGTCTTGGGGGTAACCCTTGCCCGGCTTGCTATGTGGGGAACGGCGTGGAGGTTGCCACTCCTCGGCCCCTGGGGCAACTCTCTAGACCTACATGCTTACTTTACTCCACGATAGGCCCTTCTGCAGAGATTTCAGGGGCCCCTGTTTGGTTCCAGCTAAGGTTGAGGGATGTGGGGGTGGTCCAGAGAGGACGTAATATTTTTTGAGTACCTACTGATACTTATCGGGTACCCTGGGTCTGGTGGGAGCTGTTTTGCACGTGGATCCTCTGCACATCCTCGTGCTGATCCTGGACGATGTTTTCAACTCAATTTTACAGAGCACATGACAGAGCTCAGAGAAGTTGGGATAACTTGTTCAAGGCTACATAAACTGTTGCGCTGTTGTGACAAGATTCGAGTCTAGAACAGCCTGTCGCTGAAGCCTTTGGTCTTTCCATTATAATTTGTCACTCAGGTTGAACCAGTTGGACCCTGTCCCTGCCAGGTGGAGGGAGATTTAGAAATGTCATCTATCTGCTGCCTCTCCTTGTCTTCCACCCCCAAGTACCTTACGTCTGCCACCAAAATCCCTGTTCACTTTGCACCCTGATGTGGTTTGTTTAGGGGGTAGTGAGACTGACACAGGGGGTGGGCAGTAAGGAGCAGAGTTCCAGTTTTGCCTCTGTCACTAAACTGGGTCATCTCCAGCATGTCTTTTTAAATCTCTAGGCTTCAGTTCCTCCACCAGTAAGACAAAGATGCACGGCTTAGTGGTTAAGCACAGACACAGAACATGGCCTGGTTCAAACTCCAGTGACCTTGGGCAAATTGCTTTCTATGCCTCAGTTTCTCATGCAAAACAGAGATCACAATAGTACCTACCTCATGGGAGAGTGAGGAGGGTGGAGGAAGTTAATATGCATAACACTCTTAGGAGAGTATCTGACATGGGTGTTTTACATTATTGCTGTTATTTCTAGATGTAAAAGTTTCTGAAATTCCACTATTTTCCAATAAATATAGGGAAAATAACTTAGTAGCAACTTAAAGCTGAGTGACACCCACCTGATATGTTCTTCTCTGCTTTTTGCCTGCTAATATGCATGTGTGTGTGTGTGTGTGTGTGTTAGTTGGCAGGTAGAGATATAAGTAGATCGTAGTGAAAATTAAATGTCAAATTATCACCCCCCCTTCCATGTGTTTGATACATAAAACTTCCTGATATGTTGAAAAGAATAAAACATTTTTAAATTTTTTTGTATTATATGCTCATAAACCAACCAACTTTGAGCCCAGTGATGAGGAGCTAAAAGTTGTCCTGGTAGAATGTAGATAAACACACAGTGGAGGGCAATTTTCCCCCCAGACATCCAGATGAAGTGATCGTTTAGGCACATCAAAGCCAGCAAGGATGACCATGAGACCAATAAGAATAACAGGGCAGAACACGGCAACTGCCTGCTAAACTTCTAGACCTAAAGGATTAAATTAATCAAGACAGAAGTAGAGGGGAGAGAGAGAGAGTTGGAAGGGTGAGAGTAGCTGTGGGCTTTGCAACCACAGGGCCCGGTGATAAGTGGAGCAGGACACCAGGGGAATGAGGCGTTCCCGAGCTGTGACAATCCAGGGCCACCCAGGCCAGCTCTGGCCAACAGAAATACAGGTAATGTGAGTCTCATTTGAAATTTCAAATTTTCTAGTGGCCACTTCTTAAAAAGCAAAAAGAAACATGTAAAAATTAATTTTACTTGTTTTATTTAACCTAATCTATCTAAAATATTACTTTTACACAGTGTAAAAAAATTGAGATATTTCATGTTCTTTTTTTCATACTAAGTCTTTGAAAGCTGGTATGTATGTTACAGTGAGAGCACATCTCTGTTCACACCAGTCGTATTCTGCGTGCTCGGGAGCTCCACGTGGCCTCTGGCTCCCGTCCTGGAGAACATAGACCTTAACCCTGAGGAGCGTCTGTTTGCTGAGTCTGCCAGAGCACGTCTTGCTTCCTGGCTGTCCGGAGTGGAGGGAGGGAAAGAGGGAAAGAGGAGGGAGACGTGGAGTGCCCTGAGGTCAGGGCCTCCTCCTCTCACCCCGCCGTTGCCTCCTTGTACTCTTGGCTCTCCTGGACATCTCAGCCTTTATCCTGGACTCTTCCAGAGAGTGTGTGACTCCCAGGCACGTTTACTTCTGCTGAGGCATGAATATAAAACGTGTGCATCAGCAAATAAGCCCCGCCATCCTTCCAGCATCAGCTCTGTGGCCCAGTGCTCTGACCCTCCCTTTGCTGTCCCAGCTCTGTCACCTCTCCTGCTGTGATAGAAGCTTTCCACGTGGGGAAAAACGTGGAGTTGAGAATGAAGTCAACTTCTGGTTCTGGTGGTGAAAGTAGAATAGACGTTATGTATTCTAAGCAAGTGCTTTGTGCTAAGATAGCTACAGTACAGGGAAAACTGCATGTTGTAAGTTGTTCACAGATGTAGGGATTCAAGAAAGGGGCTACTGTGAGCTAAGTTTTTACCTCTGTGCTGCAGGGAGCCATCTTCTGGCATCTGCAGCGGACGTCGTGGAGCCTGGCCAGCCAGTGTGCACATCCCCTTCTTTGGTGACAGGCTCTGGATTTTACTCTTGGGGCCACTCCTGCTCCATGGCAGCATGAAGTAGCCCGCATTTTCTCTCTCCTAGGACTGAAGTTTTAGGGGAGTGATGTAAGAATGGAAAACCACTGGAGCCATTTCAATCAGAAGAGAGTACCCTTGAGGTCGCCCATTGTGAGGTCCAGTTGTGAAGCTTTTCCTTCTATTCCCTGAGCTCTTCCATGTCCTTTCAGTAGGTTTCATCCCCCCAGCCCCAGGTTAGCTGGAATCTGTTTCTGTTGGTCTCAACCAAGTGCAAACACAAGCATGTTTTGAGCAGCAGGTGGATGTGATGGTGCTCAAGATCGGTGGCCTAGGGCAGGGGTCCCCAACCTATGGTGAGTTGTATGATTATTTCATTATATATGACAATGTGGTAATAATAGAAATAAAGTGCACAGTAAATACAATGTGCTAGAATCATCCCGAAACCATTTTCCTCCTCCCTGGTCCATGGAAAAATTGTCTTTCATGAAAATGGTCCCTGGTGCCCAAAAGGTTGGGGATCTCTGGCCTAGGGGAACAAATGGAAAAGGAAAACAGAGAGGGTTAAGTGGTTAAACCAGAGACCCCCGCCCAAGCCTCCAGTGGTGGCCGTGGTGGGGAGAAGCCTCACGTGTGCACGGCATTTTCTCATCTCTTCTCTCACTTCCTCCTTACGACATCCCGGGGAAGTGTGACACCCATGTTCCGAGGTGGCGTGGGCCGCTCAGAGTTGAGAGCAGGCCAAGGCCAAGCCCGGCCCTCTCCATCCTTGCGAATCTGCTTTCTATTCCTAGAAGAGGAGAGGTCAGGGGCGTGTGGGCTGCGAGGCTGCCTTTCTTTTATCTCATCTCTTAGAGTTGTAGGACATTTTTGTAAGAATTGGAAGACACTTTAGAGAGATCATCTCTTCCTCACTTCTTTCTTATGGTCTCAGCTCCAGACAGGGGTAAAGAATTCTCGCGGAAGTTTGGACAGAGCTGATTTAGGGGCTGCTCTTGGGCTTCTGATTGAGTTTCTGTGTGTCCTTCTGCTCATGGTACACTGCTGGTCCAGCGGCAGCGCCAGCTTCTCGGACGTGCAGAATCAGAACCTGCACCTTGGCTGGACCGCCAGGTGATTCTGTGCACGTCACAGCCTTGGGAGTGTTGTCGTAGGCCTGGGGTACCGTTGTTCCTCTGTGTTCCTGAAGGAATCAGTAGTTTGCCAAATAAGGGTCCAGTTTCCAGTCCTGTTGGGGACTGTGTCCCTTCTTCAGAGCTTCCATTCTAAATCACTTAAAGGATGATACTGCTGATCGTGACATTCAAGATCTTTATGTCTTTTTAGTAAAAACTACCTGTGTCTTAGACTTGAGCATTTCACAGCTAATTAATTCTAGGGACGGTTGCCTGTTGCTAGTGGAAAAAAAAATAAGCGTCATTCTAAGTGGTGAGTTTATTAATCTATCCTCGATCCTTTTTCCCCAGCATCCATGCTTGTTTCATTTATTACATTTTATTTACTACATGTTAAGAGGTGAGCTCATCAATTTGTTTCCCAAGACGCAGTGACTGTTTGTGTGATGTGGCCCTGTGTCCCTCAGGTGTGTGAATGGCTTGCCGCCTGCTTGCAGGAGTCTACAGTCTGGTTGGGGGGATATTATCACCCCCAACTCTGTATTTTATAGGAGAGGAAAGCAGGCTCAGGGAGAGGTAGGTGCTTTCTGATCACAGGACCTGGCCCAAGCAAAAGGGCCAGGAGAGGTTGAGGTGCCAGGTCACAATGGGGCTTGGGGCAGCTCTCTGCAGGGCTGGCAGGCCATGGGGGAGGCTGTCCACACTTGTAGGGCCACCTCACATGGTGTTGCACTTGGGGACTAAGGTCTGGTATTCAGGGTCATGCATGGGTCAGAATTGGACAGGCAGAATGAAAGCAGAGAGAGAAATGAGAGGGCATCCAACTTACTCAGGACTTAGACTTTATAGCATTTTTAGGTTCTTATAAGCACCTGGAGAGGCAGATTTTATGACTGATGTTCTACTCATAAGGAAGATGAGGCAAATGGGGGTGATAAAATCCACAGGGATCACACAGTTGGGAGAGCGGGCGTTCAGGCTCAGGGCGGATCACCCCAGTGCCTACCTGTCCCATCCTGTGCCACGCAGGCTCCTCACGTGCCGCCCTCCCTCCTGCCCGCGCTCAGGCTGGGTCGGAGTGAGGGTGGAGCTGGGCCTGGAAGAGATGAGGCGGCTCCAGCTGCAGGAGAGGAGGTGTGCGAAAGCTCGGAATGACACAGCGCTGACAGGCTGACCAGGGTCACATATTGCGAAGAGTCGGCTCTGATGGAATGCAGACACTTGGGTTTCGGTTCTGGACTCTCTCATGCCATGGTGCCGTGGGGAGTGTTATCAGCTGCACTGCTTGAGGGGCACTGAGCTCACATGGCAGGATTGGCTGCAGGGCTCAGCTGGAGGAGGGACTCATGTTTGGAGTGATGAAAGTTTGGAGAGGGAGAGAGGCTTGGTGGGGCCAGACACAAGGAGGGGCAGGCTCTGTGGATGCGCAATAGCCTCACTGCTCAGCTTGGGGGGGCGGACCAACCTGGAAGCCAAGATGCAGTGCTCCTGGGGGTCAGCAGTTGAGAGCCTGCCTTGTCTGGGCGCTCCCAGGGGAGGCCTGGTTGTGAGTGCTCAGATTGTAAAGTCAGCGAGCGAGATAGCTTTCAGCTGCTGCTGTTCTCCGGTCTCAAAAGACAGAACCTTTGGGTGACCTTGACAGGCAAGCCCCAGGCCATGTCTGGCGTGCACCAGCTACCCCCGCGGCACAGAGTCCCCTCCCCGCTGTCCTCTCTGGGCCCTCACCTCTTCAGCACAGCCCTGGGCGTTTCTCCAGAGCTTCCTGTTTGCCTGCAGTTGCACAGGCGGGCTGGTCCCACCCGGGATCATGTGGCAGAGGCCTGGTGACATAGGTGGGTGCTGGCCGTGCTCTCCATAGCTCCCAGGGGCTGTCTCCACCCACACTGGGTCCTGGGCTTCACCACTCGCATCGGGCCCTGCAGCCAGGGAGCCGAGGCCCTGTATCCAAGTCAGCTCACATGAAGGTCAAGGTGACCCAAAAGGGTTTGTGGCCAAGATTCTTAATTTTTTTTTTTTTTCATTTTCCAAAAAGTCCACACCAACGATGACTTCAGGATTTAGTGTTCCAGAAAAAACTGGGGAGGGGAACAAGGTCTTCCTTGGTCAGGGAGATGGAGGAATAAAAAGCGCATGCGGGCGAGGTCTTTGAGTCTCCTGGAGGAGAGTCACCGCCGTGGAAAGACCGCTGCGTGTGCCTGGCAGGTGCCGGGCCCGCAGGTGCTGGAGAAAGGGACTGAGGAAAGGTCCCTGGGGGGCAGGGGCGAAGTCGATGCCAGCGCTGGAAGGTTTCCAGCATGTGGGCCTGGAAAATATTCCTGCTGCAAAACAGGGTTTTCTGGGCAGCTGCCCTTCCTCCACAGCCTAGGAGGGCAAAGGCTGAAGTCACCAGGCTTTGTCCGCCCCGACTAGTCTGGGCTGCTCACCGCATGCCCGTCCTAATGATTAATTAGACCCTTTCTGTGTTTAGAGAATTGTGAAAATACAGCATTGTGTTAGAACACTGGATCGTATTGGGTTGGAGATAATGCTGTTGTGTAAACGACATGAAAAGAGGTTTTCCAGGTGAGGGTTCAAGACCCCTGGGGAGCTTGGTGTTGAGCCCCTGCCTGTCTCTGCTCTGCCTCTCTGCTAGGTGCTCCTGAAGGGACTTTGGTCTGTGACATTACGTGGAGGAAGCAAGCAGGATGCTAACGTGGTAAACTTCTAAGATGTCCAAAGAAAAGAAATGTTGCCTACGAAGTTGTGCTAGCTATCACCATTGGATTTTTAGAGCTATGATCTAACATTCTCTGCCCTTTGATGCCCCAACAGGCGGGCCCTGGTGTTCTGTGTCACCCGGGATCCCTTATCTGATTGAGTTTGGCCAATGACAGCAGCAGCAGGAGTTGGAGAAATACTGAGATAGGCAGTATCTGTTTTTACCGGAAGGTCCATCCGCCACCACCCCTCCCACACGTGGTTTGGCTCCTGTATTGCTATTTTGTCCTTTTAACCCTTTCTAAGGGTCTGAGGCCACCATTGCTAGGCTTCAGGTGTCTCTCCTTTGTAACTAGTCCCCTGGATAAAGGATCTTCATTTGGACCAGCTCCTGATGGACAGAGAGCCTAGCCAGCCTGACTTCCTGCTGATCACCAGGTTCCTGGGGGAAGTAGGTGGTGCCCTCTCACTGTCGCTGCTATTCTGGGTTGTTCCTGACTTTGCCTATGGGGGAGGTCATCTTTGTGCACATTGGTGAACTGCGAGGGGGAGTGGGGTGCACAGTGTGAAGGGGTGAGCTGTGATGGGGGCATCTGAAGACTCAGGGCACCTGGTCGCGGCAGGAAGCACAGGGCAGTGAGTTGTGCAGGGGCAGGGGCAGGGGCAGGCGAAGTTGGAGCTGGGGGCTGGGAAGAAACGCAGGCTACCCGCAAGCTACTGTGATGGACACTGAGGTGAGCTGCCTAGATTGCGGGGTGTGCAATCCAAGCCAGAAGCCCCCAGATAGCACTCCCCTCAGGTCACCCTTAGCCTCTGGCCTGCCTGCCCAGATGGGTGGGGCTCAAAGGCCTGGCCATCTCAACCCCATGCAGGATACTTGAACATCAGCTATACTTCCCGATGGAATGGCCGATGCTTTGTCTGACTCTGAACACTCCTGCAGCCTGTCCCTTTCCTTCAAGTGCTGGCCTCTAAGGAACACCCTGCGTTCACGCTGTGTCTTAGTTTGGCCCATGAGAGCAGCATCTGCTTCCTGAGAACCTGACCTACGAGGGTAAGTTTAGAAGAACTTACAGCAAGAGCAGCAAAAGGTTGACATGAAAGTAACAATTCTTACTTTTTGAATTTGTTTTATGGATTTTGTGTGTTGCAAGGAGCTTTCAGCCTTTATGCAGAAGCAGAGGAACTGCCAGGGGGCATAGGAGAAGGGTGAGATCTGGCCACCACTTAGGGACGCAGAAGTGTGCAATGACTTCTCAGGAGCCAGAACTTTGTTCAGTCGCACTATGGACAAACATGTGGAGGATTATTTGAGACTTGCTTGGTTTGAATCTAAGACGTAAATCAGGCATATCCACGGAGCATGAGCTAGGGAGAGAATATTTTCTTTATCCCCAATTTACAGAGGAGGACGCTGGCAATGTTAGAAGTGAAAGTGAAGTTCAGTTCAAAGATGAGTTTGAAGGATCTGTATGCCTGACGGCAAGGGAGATGATTTTTCACGTGAACTTGAAAAATGGTTCTGAAGGAGTGTGTGTGTT